GGGCTTCGTCCCTCCTCGTGGTGTCCTTTCCCCTGAGGAGCGCGCGGCTATTCTGGGCCGGCGTGGGTGTTTGCGCTGCCGCTTGGACGGTCATACCTCCTCGTGGTGCCCTTACACTACCGCCCTCGACTGCCACTACGCTGACCTTTCTCGTCAGCGTCGTGCTCAGTCCCCCCCCGGCGCCTCACGTCCCCGCGGCGCCTCCTAGCCACGGTGCAGTGTACACCTGCGCCCTCCTCAGTAGTGGGCTTCCTGACATCTCCGTCGCGGTTCGCCCCTCTCGCTACTGGAGTTGAGGTATCGCAGGACTCGACAGAGTGTACTCCGCCCTCTGTCGCAGTACCGTCTGCGCCTCCACAGACCACCGTTTCCCCTCCTTCCCCGCCGCGACTACCGACGCGTCGAGCCATTCGCTCAGCCCGTTGCAGCGAGCAGCTTGCTACTCGCAAGGACGTTGTGTCCTCCTGCTGGACTTGAGCATGCTCCAGGCTCGTCAGGAGCGACTCACCCTCCATGTCGCTGCACTGCGTTGCCTTCTCGCCATCCTCTCTGACCCTGATCGCACCCTCCCGATCATCCCCGTACGACTCGGGACCTCCACGAGGGTGTACTCTGCGCTGTGGGATTCCGGTTCTCAGGGCGACTTCATTCACCCACGCGTGGTGAAGGAAGCCCGCTTACCCACGACAGGGTCTCCGACTCCCATCTCCGTTACCCTAGGGGATGACAAGACCCAGCGCTTCTTCGATCAGACGGTCACCGACCTCCCCTTCTTCCTCACTCTAGAACCGACTGAGCGTTCCCCGGCGTCTCGTCGCCACCACTCCTCTGCACATTTCGATTTGATGGAGACGGGGTACGACTTCATTCTCGGCACTCCGTGGTCTCGTCGGTTCCGCAGCACCGAGGCGGATTGGGTGACCAACAGTCTCGTTCTCAAAACGAAGTGTGGACAGACGTATCGCGTACCTTTCATAGGTACCACGACGATACCACGCCCCGATCCTCCTCCCCCGGAGCCTTCAGTGCCCACACCATCTCCCTCTATCACTGTCACCACGCCTCGGCAGTTCGCTCACTTCATTCGACARGACGACGTCACCTTCTTTATGGTGGACGTGACGAATCTCTTACACTATGATCCGCCCTGTCCCGACGCCGAGCTCATCGCTCTGGAGCCAGATCCTCCCTCTATCTCCATGGCTCCCATCTCTACTTCCGTCCCTCCGCCGTCCGTCGAGTCCACCCCGCCGTCGGGCGCTGAAGCTGACAATGAGGAACTCGCACGATATACGGCTGACTTGGAGCCCGCAATTCATGACCTCATCCGAGAGTACCACTACGTTTTCCCATCGTCGTTCTCGTACGCCGACATCCCACCGATGCGTGACGTCGAGCACTCCATTCAGCT